TCTTCTTGTGGAAGTCTTCACAGTGGAGGCAGCACAGACTTTGAATAAATAGGGAATGAGGGCAATATAGTACACAGAGGAAGAGGAGTATGAAAAAGCCCCAGAAACATGAGTTATCATGGCATCATCTCTTCTCTACCTGTGCTCCTAAGCTTTGGGTCAGGCCTTCCTTTTTTCCTAATTATTTTTAAAATCTTTGAACTGATTTCCTGTACCTAGTCTTGTACATGGACATATTCACCCTATACTCTACACCCAGCTATACATCTGTGTAACCCCGGCACCTTCTCTTAAGCCCATGGAGGGAACGATATGTAGTGCTCCTCTGGGAAGGGGAAAGATAATTAAGGGAACATTCTGCCTCCTTTTCTGGCTGGGTGAGGTCCACAAGGGCCCCCTTTGCTGCTCAATCTCTCATTACAAAAGCGTACAGATTTACAAGAAGAGAACAAACAAACCCATCCAAAAGTGGGAGAAGGATATGAACAGACACTTTTCAAAAGAAGACATATATGAGACAAACAAACATATGAAAAAATGCTCATCATCACTGGTCATTAGAGAAATGCAAATCAAAACCACATTAAGATACCACCTCATGCCAGTTAGAATGGTGATCTTTAAAAAATCTGGAGACAACAGATGCTGCAGAGGATGTGCGGAAAAAGGAACACTTTTACACTGTTGATGGGAGTGTAAACTAGTTCAATCACTGTGGAAGACAGTGTGGCAATTCCTCAAGGACCTAGAAATAGAAATTCCATTTGACCCAGCAATCCCATTACTGGGTATATACCCAAAAGATTATAAATTTTTCTATTATAAAGACACATTCACACATATGTTCATTGTGGCACTGTTTACAATAGCAAAGACCTGGAAACAACCCAAATGCCCATCAATGATAGACTGGATAAAGAAAATGTGGCAAATATACACCATGGAATACTATGCTGCCATAAAAAAGGGATGAGCTTGTGTCTTTTTCAGGGACATGGATGAATCTGGAAACCATCATTCTCAGCAAACTGACTAAAGAACAGAAAATCAAACACCACATGTTCTCATTCATAGGCAGGTATTGAACAATGAGAACACATGGACACAGGGAGAGAAGCATCACACACTGGGGTCTGTTGTGGGGGCCAGGAGAGGGTCAGCATGGGGGTGGGAGGTTGGGGAGGGATAACATGGGGAGAAATGCCACATATAGGTGACAGGGGGATGGAGGCAGCAAACCACATTGCCATGTATGTACCTATGCAACAATCCTGCTTGATCTGCACATGTACCCCAGAACCTAAAGTACAATTTTTTTAAAAAAAGCATACATGCCTGCCATTCCAGGATGGGGTGGTGGTATTTTACCTTTTTCTGACTAATGAACTCAAATGTATGGGATTCCAAAGAAGACCTAAACAGGTCTTTACTTAATGTTACAGATGATAAAACACAGATTGTATAGAGCAGTGGAGTGAGGTGAGAATAGACTACAGGTGGCTTTGCATCTCTTACTTTACCTAACCCTCATTCTTGTACATGATCACTAAGGCGTCACTTCCTAGACTACCAGCACATATTCACATGGATTTCCCTCCAACAGCAGGGCCACTCAACGGACTCCTTCTTCTTTCTCCCCTGTGCTACTCTCTTCTTTCATCCCCAGTGTTTAGGGACTTGAATTTCTTTTCCTCTTCTCTTCTTGGATAGTGGACTTCTCCCAGCAATTATCAGACCTTTGGCCTCTTTTGGGGTCTTGGAAAACTTTATGGTCACCCACTTGTATGCTGAGGGTTGCTGGGTTAGAGTCGTGAGTTGGTCACAGCTGTTCTCTTCCCATCTGCTTCCAGTGTTGTTTAAGGAGAGACGGGAAATTTCCAGTTCTGAGAAGAGGAGAGAAAGAATATTGGGATTGATTGTCCTCTGTACTGCAGCCTAATTTTATTCTTTTGTTTTTCTTTAGAGATTTCTTTTTTAAAAATTCAAATATCTTGTCTTGCAAGAGTTAATTTCCAACCAATAATAGTCACAGACTCCATATATGAAATTCCCATCCCCTCTTCTAGAGGAATGTTTCACTTTGTTTTGCTTTAAAAAAAAAAAAAAAAAAAAGGTATCTTTCTGTAGCCAACATGAATCACATTACATATCTTTCTTCCATTAACCTAGCTTTGGAAGGCGTCATATACAATTACCCCTTCTCAACCCCTGCTCTCCTCTTCCTCCTCCTCCTCAGAAAAGACAAGGAGACTGCTAAGACATAGCTCACCACATAACCAACCCACTTAAAACCCTCCAAGTTTTCTCATTGCCTGTGAAGAGAGCACATGCTCTGTGAAGAGGAAGCCACTACTTATCTCCAATCAATAGCTGCCATGAGAAAATGCAGATTAATGGCAGCAAATTTTCAAAAGAAGCCAAAAATCACGGAGTTTAAGGGAAATAATCCAATTTTTAAACCTTGGATAAAATAAAACAAGTGGTGGGTGCAGTGGCTCATGCCTGTAACCCCAGCACTTTGGAAGGCCAAGGTGGGTGGATCACAAGGTTAGGAGTTCAAGACCAATCTCTACTAAAAATACAAAAAAAAAAAAAGAAATAGCTGGTATAGTGGCAGGCTCCTGTAATTCCAGCTACTTGGGAGGCTGAGGCAGGAGAATTACTTGAACCCAGGAGGTGGAGCTGAGATCACGCCACTGCACTCCAGCAGGGGCAACAAGAGTGAAACTCCATCTCAAAATTATAATAATAAAATAATGTAATTAAAATAAATAAAATGAAAATAAGACAAAGCTGAAACATAAATCTCATCACAAAATAAGTAGGTGGAGAGTGGTGGCTCACACCTATAATCCCAGCACGTTGGGAGGCTGAGGTGGGCAGCTCAGAAGGTCAGGAGATGGAGACCATCCTGGATAACACAGTGAAACCCCATCTCTACTAAAAATACAGATAATCATGTGACATATGCGTATAGTCCCAGCTACTTGGGAGGCTGAGGCAGGAGAATTGCTTGAACCTGGGAGGCGGAGGTTGCAGTGAGCTGTGATCACATCACGGCAATCCAGCCTAGGTGACAAAGTGAGACTCTGTCTCAATAAAAAAAAATACATATATATATATATATATGTATACACACACACACACACACACACACACACACACACACACACTCACACATATATATATATATATATATATACAGTAACATTCTAAAAGGTGTGTCTTCACTCTCTGCCCTAAAAGATCAAGTTCAACCTTCTTGTCAGAGTATAGGCTCCTAAGAAACTGGCCCCTGCCTCTTCTCCAGCCTCATCTCACATTACTTTTCAATGAATAATGAATGCAACAGCAATATTAAACTGTTACCAGGTTTTAGAGCTCCTGCCTCCTCTGCCTTTGAAAATGTTTTCTTTGCCTGGAGTCCTTTTATGAATATTAACTACCTAGCAAATTTTTATTACCGTATCAAGACCCTTTGACACACAACATCCTCCTACAAGACTTCCTGGATCAACTCCCCAAAATCATTCTCTGTGGTATATTACTTCCGTACCCAATACATATTTTTTATTATTGTGGTTAGCTCCTATTTATCGAATGCCCATTTTGTGCCAAAAATGATAAAACAAAGGTAGGGAAGAATAAAGTAGCTTACCTAAAAACACAAAGTTAGAGCAAGAGCAAGAATCCTAACTCTTAAGTAATTAAGTCCTGTCTGTCTGCAAAGTCTGCTATGCCTCATCCACTGCCACATTCTACTGCCTATTTTTTACATGTATTACTGTTTATATCCATTCTCTCATCCCTTAACTGAGATTAAGTGATAAGAATAATGTTTTATTCATCATCTTATTGTTAGTACCTAGGATATAATATGCTTTCAAGAAATGTTTGTTGAACTGAGCAGAACTGTGTTTTAAATGCAAATCATTTCTGTTTTTAGTATGATTCTACTTTTTCTATTGATTAATTCTTGATATTTATCTAAATTTAACTTCTTCCGTTTTAATCTTTAAAAAGAGGCTTAATGTGATGTTTTGAAAATTTATTACCTTACAAAAGGCAGAATTTTAATCATTTTAATAATGATGCACTTAATCCAAATGACCCTTTTCTGGATATTAAGAAGCAGAATATTAGCTTGTCAGTACCCAAATTTCAAATCTTGATTTAGCACCAAAAGGCCAAATTTGGAGAAGGAATTTTAATCACTGATTTTAGGCAAGCATACTTAAGCTCTAGTTGACATGTCCTCTCAGTATCCTGAAGAATTTTTACAGAAGGGATCAAACAGTAATTGTGTCCCCTTTGATAAGCTGTTGATGACTCATGTGTTTCTTATATATGGCAAGATGATCTGGCTTACCCACAGTTGATAAGGCATATAGACACCTTCTTTTCAGCAAGAAGTAACCATTCATGCTCAACCTTTTAACTGTCTCCCCAAGTTGCTCACAAGAGCAAAATACATAGCCTAAGGGAAAGAGAGAGTCTGGCTTGACAAAAAAACGTTCAGCAAATGGGATCTGTGGACGTAATCTTACCACATCAGGCTCAAATCCAGTATTTAATTAACATTTCCCTTCTGCAGCATCCATAAAGAATCTACCATATTCTCATCTGTAAGGCTAGAGCTCTCAATGTGGGAGGAAAGGGGAATTTGGGGACAGAATCTCACCCAACAGGCCATTCAGAGTATCAGGAGGATGTATGGAGTTTCTCACCATGTTCAAGCAACACTGTGATGGGCTGACTCCCACTTTATTTTTTGGACTGTTCCTGTCACAGAGAGAGATTTTACTCTAGCAGAGGATTTGGGTACAGAGAATCCATTGGGACATTCCTTTCTGAGATTGGACTGATATGCATGTGGATAGATTCCTTCTAGGAGATTTAGTTTGATTTTTGATAAGAGTAACTGTCCTGAGATGCTAAAAATACTTCAGCTTCAACATTTTGGTAAAAAGGGGTAAAGGCAATTATTCCAATTTTAAAACAATGCCCTTTATTTCTTTCTCTTACCTGATTTCTCTGGCTAGAACTTCCAATACTTGTCTTCTGCTGGTTTTCAAGGGGAATGCTTCCAGCTTTTGCAGCGTGACATTGGCTGTGGGTTTGTTGTATTTGGCTCTTATGAGTTTGAGATGTGTTCCTTCAATACCTAGTTTATTGAGAGTTTTTAACACGAAGGGATATTGAATTTTATGAAAAGCCTTTTTTGCACCTATCGAGATAGCCATATGGTTTTTGTCTTTAGTTCTGTTTATGTGATGAATCACATTTATTGATGAATCACACTTATTATTTGCATATGTTGAGCCAATCTTGTATCCTCGGAATGAAGCCCACTTGATCGTGATGGATAAGATTTTTGATGTGCTGCTGGATTTGGTTTGCAAGTATTTTGTTGAGGATTTTTGCATCAATGTTCATCAAGGGTTTTGGTTTGAAATTTCCTCTTTTTGTTGTATCTCTGCCAGGTTTTAATATCAGGATGATACTGGCCTTATAGAATGAGTTGGGGAGCAGTACTTCCTCCTCAACTTTTTGGAATAGTGTCTCTAGAAATGGTACCAGCTCTTCTTTGAACATCTTCTAGAATTCAGCTGTAAATCTGTCTGATACTGGGCTTTTTTTATTGGTAGTCTATTTATTACTGCCTCAATTTCAGAACTTGTTATTGGCCTGTTCAGGGATTAAATTTCTTCCGGTTTAGTTTTGGAAGGGTGTATGTGTCAGGAATCTATCCATTTCCACAGTTGATTTGCACAGACGTGTCTGTAATATTCTTGACTCTTATTTGTATTTCTGTGGGGTCAGTGGTGGTATCCCCCTCTTGTTTCTGATTGTGTTTACTTGAATCTTCTCTATTTTCTTCTTTATTAATCTATCTAGCAGTCTATCTATTTTACTAATGTTTTTCAAATAAGCAGGTCCTGGAGTCATTGATCTTTTGAATGTTTTTTCTGTCTGAATCTCCCTGAGTTCAGCTCTGATTTGGGGTATTTCTTATCTTCTGCTAGCTTTGAACTTTGATTGTTCTTGATTCTCTAGTTACCTTAGTTGTGACATTAAGTTGCTAACTTGAGATCTTTCTAACTTTTGGATGTGAGCTTTAGTGCTGTAAATTTCCCTCTTAGCATTGCCTTAGCTATGTCCCAGAAATTCTGGTATGTTGTACCTTTGTTCTCAGTAGTTTCAGAGACTTCTACCTTAATTTTATCATTTACCCAAAAGGCATTCAGGTACAGGATTCAATTTCCATGTAATTGTATGGTTTTGAGGGAATGTCTCAGTCTTGAGTTCTAATTTGAATTGTACTGTGGTCTTAGAGACTGTTTATTATTATTTCAGTTATTTTACATTTGCTGATGAGTCTTTTACTTCTTCTGATTATGTGATCAATTTTAGAGTAAGTGCCATGTGGCAATGAGCTATTGATATGTTTTGGCTGTGTCCCCACACAAATCTCATCTTGAATTTTAGTTCCCATAATCCTCATGTGTCATGTGAGGGAAGTGGTGGTAGGTAATTGAATCATGGGGTGATTATCCTCATGCTGTTCTCGTGCCTGTGACTGAGTTCTCACAACATCTGATGGTTTTGTAAGGAGCTTCCCACTTCATTCACTCTTCCTCCCGCTACCATGTGAAGAAGCATCTGTTTGCTTCCCCTTCTGCAATGATTGTAAGTTTTCTGAGCCCTGCCCCCAGCCCTGTAGAATTGTAGGTCAATTAAACCTCTTTCCTTTGTAAATTACTGAGTTTCAGGCAGTTCTTTAGAGCAGCACAAGACTGTACTAATTCAGAAGTATATTCTGTTGCTTTGGGGTGGAGAGTTTTGTAGATGTTTATCAGGTCCATTTGATCCAGAGCTGAGTTCAGGTCCTGAATATCTTTGTAAATTTTCTGTCTTGATGATCTGTCAGTGGGGTGTTAAAATCTCCCACTATTATTGTGCAGGAGTCTAAGTCTTTTTGAAAGTCTCTAAGAACTTGCTTTATGAATCTGAGTGCTCCTGTGTTAGGTGTATATGTATTTAGGATAGGTTGGTCTCCCTGTTGAATTGAACCCTTTACCATTGTGTAATGCTCTTCTTTGTCTTTTTTTTAAAATCTTGGTTTAAAGTCTGTTTTGTCAGAAACTGGTATTACAACACTTGTTTTTTCTGTTTTCCATTGGCTTGGTAAATTTTCCTCCATCTCTTTATTTTGAGTCTATATGTGTCTTTGCATGTGAGGTGGCTCTCTTGAAGACATCATAGCAATGGGTCTTGGTTTTTTTAATCCAGCTTGCCATTATGCATCTTTTAATTAAGGCATTTAGCCCATTTACATTTAAGGTTAGTATTGATATCCAGTCAACATGATAACTGGTTATTTTGCAGACTTGTTTATGTAGTTGCTTTATAGTATCACTGGTTTGTGTACTTAAGTGTGTTTTTGTTGTAGCTGGTAATGGTCTTTTCTTTCCATGTTTAGTGCATCCTTCAGGAGTTCTTGGAAGGATGGTCTGGTGGTAATGAATTCCCTCAGAATTTTGCTTGTCTGAAAAGGATCTAGAAAAATGGGATACATTTCAGGTGTTTTAACTATTCTTATTAAAACATCACAGTCTATTGCCTTCCTTCCCCTCCTTCATATATAGGGCCTACGTAAGGTAAGAGTTTGTCCCCCAGCTCAGCCATTTAATCATTCATATTGGTGAGAAGAGCAAATCACTCAGCCTTTTATCTTCTTTTACCTTTTTGGAAGTCCACAAAGTTTGCTAAGTTTGGGAAAGACTACTTTAAAGCATTTCTCTTCAGTATCACTCCTGCAGCTACCCATGTAGTATCTTTTTAGCACAGGAGCAGATGGGCTAGAGAACCTGATAATACAATTATTTCACATTCCCTTCTTCTCCTTCTCAATCATACGAATGCTGCTAAGGTTCTTGATGTGATGGGCCAAACACTACCAGGGTTTCCTGCTTAGTCTAGCCTACCCTGACAGACCATTTCTTTGCATAAAGGAATATTTCTCTCATGTGCCCAATAGCAACCCCAAAGATTCTATGACAGCTAAGAAAGCTTTGCGTGCTCAGAGCACAAAGAAAAACAAAACAAAAATTATCTCTGATATAGGAGCCAAGGAAATGGATGTCATCGTATATATATACGCAAACACACACACCCCAATATATGTATAATGTATATAATATATATACATTATATATAAATTTTGTCTTGTATACATGTATAATGTATACATATATATTGTGTATATATTTATATATGTATATATACACATATATATGCATATACATATATACATATATAGTATATATGTGTATGTATACTATATATATATATATGTGTGTGTGTGTGTGTGTGTATATATATATATTTAACTCTTTTAAAGATAAAAGTTTTCCAAATTTACCCCACTCAGTCTGTCATCAAATTTCTTTTCTTGGGTGTTTGCTCCATTCTTTTCTACACTGCATAAGCTTCTTTAAAATCTTTCAGGTTTTATTTCCTTTTCCATGAAAAAAAAATTTGTTAGATTCAACCTGATTTAGAAAAGCAACAATGTTTCTTGTAGCACATGAAGGTAGAGTCTATGGTCTAAGCACGTGCAGCCTGTTTTTATTAGCACAATAATTTGATTATTTAGGGTATATGAATGACTAAATTTTGCATAATTCACAGAAATAAGACAAAGATAGCCAATTAGGATGCACAAATTATTTTCCTAGAGTTCAATAGAGACAAGAATTATTAAAAAACAACAGCTAAATCAAGGGACTAATGATCAGATGACAGGACGACAAAACATAAATATATGATGGATTATCACTAGAGCCTTCTAGACATGTGGTCTTCCTCTTTTTATTTATATTTGTCTATTTTTTTTATAGCATGTGCAGATAGACCTGCATAAACTTTCCTTTTAAAATATATATCACTTCCAGTATTTCAGTGTCCCCTGAACCTCAGACTCGTTTTACAGGAGTAGCAACTTCATATGCTATTTAAAATAAAGAATATGAAAGGGGAACTCAGGAAAAGTGTGTAAGTTATAGAAATGTCTTACAATTTCTCAATAGATTAGTATGGAAACTCACTTGTTAATCGTATTCATGCCCCCAAAAGTATTGCGTAGGACCTATGATTAGTACCTACTGTACACTGGCTTAACATTTAGTAAGCTCCTACTTGCCAGAGATGGTGGGACATTTATTATAAGATGTCAAAGTACAAAATTCTTCAGAAAGTACTTCCCATTGGCAGATGTATTTGTTTTTGAAGAAAAACATCCTACAAAGGAAGTTTAAAAGAGAACCCAGATGAATATTTTTACAGATGGGCCACAAATAAGTCCTGAATTCACCATGTTCTACAACTTCCCAGAGCTGAGAAGCTAAAGACAGTTCTACAATATCACATTTCAAAGGCATCACAGGGCTTAGCTGCTAATGCAATAAAGTGGTTTTTGTCTCGGAAGCGAGCAATATCGTGAATAACATTGTCCTCCGGAAAGAATGAGCCAATAGGCACCATTTTGTGCTGTAAGGAAACAGCTAGCTTGATTGTGAATGCAGATCTGCCCACTCCACTTAAGCTGACATTTTGTACAGGCTAGAAGGAATGTGTGGTATGAGATCAATAAAGAAGTAAACTAAAAGGCTCTTAAATGATTGTAAATGAAGCTGAGAACAAAAACTTAGATCTAAATAACCTAGAGTTATGACTCTAGGGCTATGGTCTATTAACATCTGCTTCTTGGGCACGAATGTTTTTCTTTCAAAATAACACTGCTACATGAATCAACAGCTTCCAAAGGAACTATTTCATGCCATCCAACCTTAGGTCTCAGACCTGAAAAAGCTCATTGATCTTTGGTGAAATCTTTGGTTACATAAGTAGGAAGTTATTTTTAAAGCCATACCAGATGCTACAGTTCCTCCTCATTGCTCCCACATGGATGTGCACTGTTTATTCAGAATTGAGCCAAAAGACCTGAAATAAGAAAGCTAAGTATGATTCCCTGACAAATCGAGAAAATAGAGCTGCATGCAATGGATCTGTAAATATTTCTTTTAGTTTTATTATTTGACTGATGGCTTTTGAGCTGGCCACACTTGCACACACATACGCATACACACACAAACACACACGCACACACACACAAACACACACACACACACAAACTCAGAAGTTTTCCTTAGGAGGCTCATGATTTTCCTTTTGGAACTGCCAGCAGAATTTCTTCCTAACTTAAATCATTTTTATAGCTTCCTTAGTGAGACTAAAACATTAACAGATAAACTGCAACCCTAGTTCATCATTTTGCCAGGAGAAATATAAAGTAGTCCATGTTCTCCTGTCAGAAATAATCTTTGGTCATATAAAAATGGTAATTAATTTAATCAAATTGGAACTCACAATAAAAGGAATCATTATTGTCATGTTGTATCCATGATATGAAGAGTTTTTTTTTTTTAATGTGGGTTTTTTTTGTAACTTGGGGTTCAAATTTGATCTCTAATAAAAGAAGCTAAAGAAATATTCAATTACCAGATCTCATTGAGAAGGTAAGTCTCTGACTATATATGGAGTTGTCAAAGATAAAATGTCAAAACCACATAGATTTGTCTTATACTTCTCCAGAGAATGTATTTATTCACTATTGTATCCTTAGTATCTAAAACAGTAGCTAGGTAGTATACAATAAATGAGTGAATAAACAACTCAACCTCAGTTGCCAAAACAATCCCAATTTTTTTTTGAGACATAGTCTCATTCTGTTGCCCAGCCTGGAGTGCAGTGGCACGATCTTGGCCCATTACAACCTCTGCCTCCTGGGTTCAAGCAATTCTCCTGCCTCAGCCTCCTGAGTAGCTGGGACGCATGCACTACCACACCTGGATAAATCTTTTGTATTTTTAGTAGATACAGGGTTTCGCCATATTGGCCAGGCTGGTCTCCAACTCTCGACCTTCTGATCCACCTGCCTCAGCCTCTCAAAGTGCTGGAATTACAGGCATAACACCATGCCAGGCCTCCAATCCTAATTTTTAAAGCCATAACTATTTCTCTTTTATTTCCTAATAAGTCAGGTGGTAAGTAACATTGCCTGTGTAAATCATCAGTATCATCTCCCACTATAAAGTTTTATGTTATCTCACCTCTTACTCCCTGACATATACTTTATAATTAAAAAGCACTAGTTAGTGCTGTTATTTACCACTTCCATGTAGAACTATCAATAGTATCATATTTTCATGTAGAATTACCACTGTATTCATAAATAAGATTGACACACTCCTTTGCTTAAAATTTTGTGGTAATGCCTGTATAATGCTTAGAATAAACATTAACCTCTTTGCCAAGGCTTAAGAAGCCATACATGATTAAGCTTTTGTTTGTATTTTGAACCTTATCGCCTACCATTTTTCCTTGGTCTATATACTGAACCGCATTCCCACTTTAGGAATTCTGGCTTTCAGCAGCCCTTCTACTAATAACAATTAGAAAGTTAAGTGGAAAAAAACCCTACTATTTGAAGTCACTAAACAGTGACAAAATTGTCATAAACTAAAAGGGAATCAGTCTTTGAAAGAAGGAAACCCCAATGGTGGAAATACATATTTACATGCCTTTCCCCTAAGACATACTGTTCAGGATAGATAGAACTTAAAAAAAAATTATCATCTGGAAAAATCAGATGAGAGATTTGGGGATTGCCCAAGTGGCTGGATATTAAGAGGGAGAAATTCTGGAAAGGAGGGTGTTACAGAAAGGAAAACCCTGAAAATCTATGTATAATCCCCATTCAAACTAAACCGCCAACATGTAGGGTGAGACTCCAAGGAGCTTGCAGGAAGACAGCAGTTAAACAATGGCTTTAGTGGATACACGCTATAGGAGAGTCAAGATTTGGGAATTAGAGTTTTTGCAAGTTTGACTGGATTACTATATACACCAGGATTTCTATTAAAATCCCAGAAGAACCACACCTTAGGATTAAAGACTACAGTCCAAGACTAAGTGATTTAACAACAATTTAACTGCCTGATAGAAAAAACAATTACAGGCCGGGCGCAGTGGCTCACGCCTGTAATCCCAGCACTGTGGGAGGCCGAGGCGGGTGGATCACGAGGTCAACAGATCAAGACCATCCTGGTCAACATGGTGAAACCCCGTCTCTACTAAAAATACAAAAAATTAGCTGGGCATGGTGGCGCGTGCCTGTAATCCCAGCTACTCAGGAGGCTGAGGCAGGAGAATTGCCTGAACCCAGGAGGCGGAGGTTGCGGTGAGCCGAGATTGCGCCATTGCACTCCAGCCTGGGTAACAAGAGCGAAAAACTGACACTCTAAAAAAAAAAAAAAAAAAAAAAAAAAGAAAAAACAATTACGCTCTTCAGAGGAAGATCATTAAAAACAGAGTCTCTATTGTATCAGTATATCATCCAATATGTAATCAAAAATGACTAGACATATGAACACTTAGAGAAAATTATGACCCATAATCAAGAGAGAAAGAATAGTTAATAGACTAAAACAAACCAGATCTTAGTATTAATAGACTCGCACTGTAAACCTAACAAATATGTAAAAGAATCTGAAGGAAAATTGAATATAATGAGATTAGGAAATTTTAGGCTATATGTGGAAACTTAAAAAACAAACAAATAAGAAGTTTAAAACTGAAAACATTTTAAAAATTTTAAAGTTAATTGACTCACAACACTGTAATCCCAACAAATATGTAAAAGAATCTAAAGGCAAAGTTGAATATAATGAGATTAGGAAATTTCAGAATATATGCAGAAACTGTTAAAAAATGAACAAATAAGTTTAAAAGTGAAAAAAAAATACATACCCAAAGTAAAAAAAAAAAAA